GGAAGTAGCGCTTTCACTTCGGAAAAATCCTTCTGCTTTGTGGCATCTTTATCTACATGCATGTCGTGCCCTCCTTATTTTGGCTGAAGCTTTGATTTCTGGTCAGCTTTAATCTGCACTTGGGCTCAATACCCATGAGAAACAACACATCATCGCAGAACACTGATAAGATTTCTATTAATTTCTGTGTCAGTTCTCGGGACTATCATAGTGTCACTTTTTTTTTCCTCCTTCTCTGCCCTAGATGCCATATTTGCTTGCTACTGCACAGCAAGATGGCTTAAGGGAGCTTGGAGATCTCTTCCCACTTCTTCTTTGCATCTCATGTCCGCAGAAATCTAATCTTATCAGAGTTCATCGCGTTTGCATCGCACGTTGCGCTGAATGCTAACACGCTAGTTTTCATTCCTTCACCGCCTCACAGGACTTGTTGGCAGCTGCCATTCTGCACCGATTCAATCATGCACTGCCGCTTCATCTTTTAACAAAAACCCATTTCCCTTTTAGAAGTCTCACAACTTCCTTTTTTTAATTTGCTCTTTGGCTTTGACTAAGAAAAGAGGCTGTTTCTGCACATCGCCCGCTTTAGCTTGGCCAATGAAATGTTTAAAATGTATTGTTAACTAACATATGCTCAGATATACTGTGAACTTTAAAAATGTCCGTAGGCCTGTGCGCTTGTGTGTGTGTGCGTGCGTGCGTGAGTGAGTGCGTGAGCGTTTGCGTGTGTGCAACAGAGCTCTCGGGCCTATTCTTTTTTTTTATTGAAATCTACCTCTATGCTTAAAAGAGATTGAGTTATGACACACAGATCTTTCTAAAATCAGTGAGTATACAACGTGTAGCATGCAAAACGAAACAAAAAAAACCAAATCCATAGCTGAATAAGCTACCAAAAAACCCACACCTGTTTGTCAGCATTTTATGTGTCGTTCGTCCAAAGCAGTCGATCCTGTCTTTTTGTACCACTACCTCACCTCATGGTACAACTGTCCGTAACCGTTTATCAAGCCACCTTTAACTGTTTGTGCTTGTTTCTGTCCCATTGACACGATCCAGTGTGATGCATTTCCTTCAAAGGATTTAAAAGTTAACTTTAAGAGTGGGACACGTTCAGGTTTCAATTCTCTGCCACCTAAAGTCCAGGCAAAAATTTGTCTGACCAAGATAAAAAAAATAAAATAAAATAAAATAAAAAAAATTCCCCATTCTTAAAGTTAGTCAGCCTCATTGGTTATTTTATAAAGTCTTGCACAGCGCTTAAGTAGATATCCAGCAATTTACAGCTGAACACATAACAAATGGACTCCGTGCCTAACCACAAAGAGTATGCTAGTTTTTGTTTAAATCAAATATAACTAGCACCTACGAATTAGCCACAAGAAAAATAATCATGCATAAATTCTAAAGATACTCTTTCTATATCTACATAACAACAACGTGCAACATTCATCAGAACATAAATCACTAGGGTTGAGCGTAAGGTAGGCAGCAGCTTTCCTGTCATAGACAGCACATTGTGTCAGTCACCATCAGTGTTGTTAGCTAAATGTCCTCGACAGTGTTGTTTCTGTTTCTTTCTTTCTTGTTTTTCTTTTCTTTTGTTGTTTTTTTTCTCTTTTTTTTCTGCAGAAGGTCCCTCACCCATTGTGAACAAAAAAATCTCCTTTAACATATCCTGTCTCTCGCACCTGCAGGTGATTGAGTTCGACGATGGCTCTGGTTCAGTGCTGAGAATTCAGCCGTTGCGCACGCCCCGAGACGAAGCCATATACGAATGCGTCGCCTCCAACAGTGTTGGAGAGACGAGCGCTACCACCAGACTCACTGTTTTACGTGGTAGGTCCCTCTCAACAGCCCGACAAGCAAAGAAAAAGCCACCACCAACCCTCCCTACTACACACACACACACACACACATACACACACTACTAATGCACCCTTTTCTTCCAACTAACCCAGGTAAGCTTGAATTTATCTGTTTGATGTCTTTCCTGCCCTCTTTTTTTTTTTAATTTTCCTTTATTTTCACCGTCACTCTGCACAGTCAAGCCCACTTTCAGACTTCGGTTACACTCACGTTGTGCATTCTAACTTGATAAGATTTAGTCCATTAGCCATTTAGCCAACTAAGTTTCCGTTTTTAAGTGACTTAAGTCATTTGCATACAGATTTCTGACACAATAATTAAGATGCCAGTTAAATTATGCAAATAGCCATCTATTCCTAGCCTGCAGTGGTTTAATGGAAAAGCTCAGCAATAATTTTCAAATCAGTCATTTTTCATCTCCTGCACTTCAGCTTTGATATTCATTTGACCGTGCAGAAAACAAAGCGGCGCGTTCTCACGCGATTAACCGCCGTATATTGTTCCGAGCGGCGTTGCGGCGGCAGGTTGGCTCAAAGTCAGCGCCTTCCAGCGGACCAGTGGCTGTTAACACGCCGCGCACACCCCTCTACATGAACGTGCATAGCAACCCGGGCGGGAAAGGTCAGCCACTTTGTTTACTTTCAGCGAGCGGTGCGGGTAAAAGTCGGATGACAAATGTCGAGTTGCGATGACAGTGGCTCTTTTATAAGGAGCAGTGAACAAAATTTTATCTTGATTACACATAACATCCCATTCAGAGGCAAATATGTGGTGGCCCTGAGCTCAAAAGGCTGCGTAATATCTCTCTAAAACATGACTTGTTTGACTGTGAATGGAGAAAATGGCTTTAGAAGGAAAAAAAAGAAAAAGCCTTGGGCTGCTTGAATGAGGTGCGCTCCATTATGTGCCACAATTACACAACATGGCAAATGAGTTCCTATTGAGAGGGGTGCTTCCATCCTATAGAAAAAAAGCTGGCACTGCGAGTCTCTGAAGCACCCCCCTACACACACACACACACACACACACACACAGCCCTTCCTCCCTCCACTCGCTTCTTATCTCACCAGTGAGCCAACAAAAGGCCCTTTGCACTGTCTCCAGAGGCCGATTGAAAGAGAAAGGTGGCACGTTCAAATGCAGCTTTCTCCTGTTTACTCTGGAGCACAAAGTGAGTGTGTGTGTGTGAGACGCGTGTGCACGTGTGCATGCTCTCACTCACATGCAATATTGTGCATTTCCCCTTCCCTTTCACTCTCGCTCTGCCTCTATCTCTGTATTTTCCCTTCACACACACACACACACACACACACAAATAGATAGCTGAGGGATGGGTAGAAGCTGCTCTTCCCGGCTCCGCGGCCTAGCATTAGCATGTTTATTACCATTTCCATTTTGCTCTTCTGCTCGCTCTCCTTTCCCATCAATGTATTGAAGGTGAGTAGAGGCCTATCACGGCTGGGAAAAAAAAAAAAATAGAAAAATGGGGCCGAGCTTTTTCCTCCTCTGCTTTGGTGCAAATATAAAGTTGTGCTCTTTCACGTTGCTTCCTGTGGATACGTGAAATATTGACTCTGTGAGGATTTAGCTGATAATCTGGAATTTAAAAAAAATATAAATATATGTTGATTTCACTTCAGTATACGACCGCTGCTGTGGAATAACAGGAGTTTAATATACAGTGAGTTTGAGGATTGAGCACAGGTCATGAAACTAATAATAAATGAATACATTAATAATAAGTATGAGCAGTAGCACCAGTTGGACACATAACAGTCACAGCTTCATGTACCTGCGATAAATGTAATAAGACATTTTCCTTCATTGGTATTGCAGATTATAAGTACACACAGCGTACCACACACACGTGTTCAAGTTGCAAACGCTACTCAAAGACAAGCTGACTTGTGTTCAGCGCAAGGTAGAAATGTGCCGACACGCCGTATTGTAAAAGCGTAGTACTATATGAAGCGCACAGCGTTACCTCAAGAGTGTGCTATAAATGATTTAGAAGCCCAAAAAGCTTCCTACCTCCAAAAGTGCTCCGTACAGTACGGCACTGCTAGTTTCATTCCACACGACATAAACTTCAGCAGATTTTTTTTTTCGAACGCTCGTCTGTCACCAAGATGAAAAATTTATTTCACTGGAGAAATGCCGAAGTTACACACAAGTGTGTGATGCAGGCCTGGAGAGATAAATAAGCAAATAAAGATAAGTGCTACTGCACCAGGCCTAATACATATAAAGTGACTGTTCATGTAGTTCATTTAGGCTCCAATGGTCTGTGGAAACGACTGCAAAGCATCTGTTGTGGGAAGCTCGCCACAGGGGGCGATGCCTAATTTCATGAAGGAAAAGCACATTCTTGTAATTGCCGTGTTATGAGAAGAGGGGACTTGAGGTGACAAATACCAGGGGATATTAGTATTCCAATGGGCCTCCAACTTGATGGGAAGCGCCATTAGTAATGAACTTCCAAGCTTTAGAGAAGCGATTTGCATGAAAGGCGAACTCGGAAACGTAATGATGTTCCAAGTCAAATCCGCCAGGCCCCGGCATGAGGTGCGGCTTTACTTATTGCACTTTCTTTTCCTTTTCTTTTTTTTACGGGTGGGGGTTCTGTGTTTCGATTAACTGTGAGATGACCCGACTCATACGTGATTCATGTCTTTGAATTAGGGTCGTCCCGATTTGCTTGGTAATTGAGAATGACACGAAGAGATTGAAAAATGAAGAAGCGGCACATTTTGGGTGTCATGGCCGGCATATGATTTCAGTAAAAGCGATGTTTAATCTTCTCCATGAGCGTGGACATGCTCACGGCGAGGCGTCTACAGCGAGTATACACCTTTAGACGGTTAACTGAAAGTAAACATGAACAACACCTGAAAATGTAGACAAAACATCGCACGGTGTCTAGACGCTTTGCTAGCGGCACTTCCAGCAGAATGATGTGTACATTTGAGTGCTGCAGTTCATGATTCAGGCGTGATTAAGGATTTATATTTCATCCTCATACTCCCATTATGCTGTCAACAACCATTTCCTGTGCCCCGCACACAAGCAGGCAAACTTATGCAGCTGTGCACAACTTGACAGTGGGAGCGGAAAATGGGAAGCCGCTCTCCTGTGACGGAAAAATAGAATGCATCATTTCCATTTGTATGGAATGGTGCAGGGCTGTGTAGCTGAGACGGATCTTTCCACATGCAATGAAAGCGCCGCTACATGATCAGTGATTATTCATAGACAATGTATACTCCGGGCTCTTTGTCGTTGTTATGGGGGGGAAAAAAGAAAAAAGAAACAGTCTCCACTCTTAATAAAAGACGCCAATACCTGCCTAATTGATATTCCAGGCTTTATACGCCGACATCCACAGCACGTGGGTCGACAGAAACCTGCCTGTGAAGCAAAAATGAGCAAATTTGGAGTCATAATAAGGATTAAAATGTACCTTAACACCTCCGCCTAAATGCCATTTTTCATTTGTATGCTCTTGCACCGCTTCTAACAAGTGCAGAGTGCAAGATGAACAAAAAACTGGTCTGCATGCTCAAATTGCTCGGGAAGATAAATGCTGTGTCAGCTGTCTCGCCAGAGTAAGCGTAGCAGTCGGTAGAAAGCAAGTGACCATTGTAAAATTACCGTGTTTGTGATCAGTGGCTTGCAAAAGGAAAAAAACAGGAGAGGAGGGGGAGCAGTAGCAGCTACCATGCAATTCTCTGGTTTACTGGCGGGAGCTCTATAGAAGGCGAGACCTGAGCTGCCGCATGGAAACACTCAATTTTGTTAGGAAAGTACACTTTTCCTCCAAGGAAATGGTGCTGGGATGACATGCTGACTTGTTGTAAGAGTTTATAAGTATGAAACTTATCTGAACACTTTTTCTGTTTTGTTTTTTTTGCTCAGTCAAAGCAGATTCATCCTTGTACAACACTTAGATTGTTAAACTCCTTTTCTTCGCAGTCTCTGGCTTTTCAGAGGCCACCAACATTTCATGCGGTTGCTAACTAGTCATTATATCTGCAGCACATTTTTTTCCCCTCACAAACAGCTTTTCCCAGCAATGCTGGAAGCGTCACAGAGAGTCGATTATCATCATTAGATGTTTCATAAAATAGCCACATTGCTGGGGATTTGGCCTTGATGCTACTTCTCAACTTCGCTCCATCATACGTCACAAAAATGGAGCACGTAATGACAAGTTATTCGTTATTGTAATTAAAAAGATGGAGTTGACTGTCCTCGACGAAATTGATCTTCACGGGAAAGTAAAAGAGAAGGAGAAGAAGGGAAAAAAAAGGATCATCCCTCAAACCCCTCTATAACGTGCTGCGTGGTTAATCACGAGAGCCGATCATTATCTGTATTGTATGCGGGATGATTTAAAACAAAAAGTGCTGCTTGCAAGATGGATGTTGGGACTTTTGCAGCCACGTAGCATGTGAGAAAACATCTGCTGGTGCCTTAGACGCTCTGTGACTGCACTCAGACCGTGATAGATAACTCTGCACGTGTTTCGGCTTTGTATTTATTTTAATAAAACGAAACTCGGCCACACAGATTAATAATTATTGATTCAGACAAATGAGGAATGCACGTTTTGTGTTTGCTTCCTGGCCGTAGATGCCGCTGTCCTCCACAGAGGCCTCGCAGCAGCATCGGCCCGTAATAGGGTCACGATTGATTTTACTGTGCGAACAGTTTCCTCATTCACTATCAGAGTACAGAGTGCACTATTTTTGTGCTGAATTTAATGCTGACTTGAGAACGGCCTCTGTGTCACAGCTGAAAGCCTAAAAAGTGTAAATCAAACTGGAATTTGCAGAAAAAGCTTCACATTGAAGATAAAACCCTGCATAGTTCTGTTATTTACTTTTTCTACATTACATAGTCTGTAAATAACTCATTGTTTAGACCATTATTATATTATTATGGCCGCTATTATAAAATATATATTTTAC